CCTGGAAGGGGGCCGCCCAGCACCGGGTCCCAGAGCAGGAGGCGCCCTACGCCTTCCGGGGCGACCAGTGGGTGGGCTTCGACGATACCGAGAGCCTCAAAGCCAAGGTGAGGCCCCGCCCTGCTGGGGGGTCCTGGGCGGGATGGGGGCTCAGGAACACGAGGGACCCAGTGACCGGAACTGAACCCCCGGGGGGAGCCTTTCAGGGCGTCGGGCCCACGGCTCTGCTCGCGGCGGCACTTTGTCCCCGTGGCTCCGAGCGACTAGGAGAGACGCGGCGAGAACCACCGCGCCACAGCCAGCGGCCGGGAAAGACTCGGTGTTGGTTAAAGCAAACAAGTCCTCGGACACGCGGGGGAGATGCCCACGGGAGCCGCCGCCCTGGTGCCCTGCACCTGCCAGACGGGGACTGACTCGCGCCCTGTGCTCAGCGCTGGCGGTGGAGACGCTAGTTCACTGTTCTCAGGCCCGGCTCCCCCGGGGTGAGGTCGTCAGCTGCTGCAGAGGGTTAGGTTAGGGCTAGGGCCAAGGTCAGGGTCTGGGCTAGGGCTGGGGCTAGATTTGGGGTTAGGGTAGAGTTAGAGGTAGGGTAGGGCTGGGGTTAGGGTAGGGCTGGGGTTAGGGTAGGGCTGGGGTTAGGATTAGGGCTGGGGTTAGGGTTAGGGTTAGGGTTGTGCTTAGTGTCGGGGTCAGAATCAGGGTCATGGTTGGCCCACCTGTGTGTCCCGTCAGTTACCACGCAGGCAGCAGGCTTGTGCTGGCAGGTCCTTGCAGAGGTGTGGACGGCGCCCTGGGCTGGAGGAAGGAAGGAGGGAGAGCCAGGCTGGGGGAGGGAGCCCTGCCGAAGCCAAGAAGGCAGAGAGGGTGGCTGGAGGCCGCACAGCTGGGCCTGCACAGGGCGGGGAAAGTCTAGGGGGGAGGCAGCTGGAGGGGGAGAATGGGGCCACAAGGGGGCCTGCCCAGCCCCCCTCCCCCCAGCCTGACTCTGGGTGAGCCCTGGCCCTGGCAGGGTTCGGGGAAGGGAAGCCGCCCGAGGGAACGGCCCTGCCCCGAGGAAGCTGGGGTGCAGCAGAGACGAGCAGGCAGGGAGCCCTGCAGACATTGGGGAGCTTGTTCCCATGGCAACAGCTCAGCAAGGCGCCTGCACACAGGGCCAGGGCAGGAAAGGCCCGATGGCAGCTTCCACTGAGGGGCCACGCGCCGTCCACCCCTCACCCCCCAGACCGTCCTGCTGGGGCCGGGCTGGGCTCAGCCGTCTAGGCTCCCATCCAGGAGCCTCAACCACTCTGGTCTGGGGGTGCTGGCGGGAATCGGCCCGCGGCCTCCAGCTCCTGCACCCCTCCCTCCCCCGCAGGTCAGCTACGTGAAGCAGAAGGGACTGGGCGGGGCCATGGTCTGGGCGCTGGACATGGACGACTTCGCGGGCTCCTTCTGCAGCCAAGGCCGATACCCCCTCGTCAAGACCCTGCAGACGGAGCTGCGGGGTCCGGGGGCAGGTGGGAGCCCCTCCCTGAACTCGGGTCCTGGCTCCTCCTGAGGAAGTGGCTCCCCCCCGGCTGTGTCCCCCCGAATCTCAGGCGCCCCCAGGGCTGAGGTTGCAATGCCCCCTCTTTCCAACGGTGGCAAAGCCCCCGGGGCTGGTAACGGGGCTTCCCCCAGCCCCGAGCCCGGGCGGGCGGCCGGCTTCTCTCTGTGGGAGGAAGTCTGCAG